GGTAAAATGACTAAACTGTTTTTGCATATACCGGGGAACACCATCTTCCTCTGTGTGTAGATGCACCCCAATTCTGTTACCAAGGAAGGGAATTACGTACAGCTAATTTTCACAAACTGAAAAGGTTAGCGTGTCATTGTCAAGACCAGTGATTGGAGTGATCACATTATTCAGCAATCTTATCGTTGAGATATGAAGCTGCAAAAGATAGCCGGTTGTTGAGCAAAATTATTATCACTTTTCTTGTTATTCTTATCATAAAGACTTTTTAATATAAATATCTTGATAATCAGATAATAAGTTTTTTTTTATATAAGTATAATGGTTGTTGTATTTAATGTTGCTGTCTTTAATTATAATGTTACAGAATTTATCATATAATCTAATTGTAGTCATTATTGTTGTATTATTATTGTTATCATTATTGAAAATTGCCATTCGCTTCTGTTATTGTCATTGCTATAACTGTTATCATTATTATCAGTTATGACTGACAGGCCGATAATTATGATAAATGATATCAGTAATAACAATAAAAAGGAAAAGACAATAATAATAATAATAATAATAATAATAATAACAATAATAATAATAGGAAGAAGAAGAACGGTAATAGCAACAAAGATGTTAATAATAAGGATAATAATTATCATATGTATACACATATACATAGATATTTTATATATATTTATATACATACACACATACTCACGAATATATATGTGTGTGAGCGCGCGCGTGTGTACACATATAAATTACACCAACATTGCTTTGGTTATAGCTTGAAAATTCCCCCCAGAAATGTTTGTTCACCCCCCCCCCCCTAAGAAAAAGCTGAAATGATGCGCCTGCTTAATTACATCAGCGTGTATCTGTATCTATATCTGTCTGTATTAATCTTGTTTGCTTACTACCTATATTCAGTTATTGTGTATACGCGAGTAATAATGTTTTTTTCTATATCTTTTATAATCTGAACGTCTGGTAATTGTAAGTACTCTTTTTATATCAATGAAATGAAAAATTGCGTATAAGGTATACATTTATATTCATATAGATGGATATTTAGTCATTGAGGATAATCATCTCAGTGTCGTTACCCGCTTCTTGACAATGCATGACTGGCAGTAACAAATTTCTGTCGACAAGATGTGTCCTTCTTCCTTCTTTCATGTCTCATGGTAATACCATTAATTAATTACCATCTCGCTAAATTTTCAACGCCGTTCATGCGCACTTGACCCAGTTGTGTATTTCTCCGAAGCGAATTAAACAAAAATCACGGCACTGCGAATTATCTCTTTCTAACACAACGTCGGGGATTCTGACCTTGGCAAAACGTTATTCAATAAGACATGATAAACCCAGACATCACACACAAGAATTCAATACATTCCGTCAACAACGAAACGTAGACTAAACAGATCTCTAGCTGAAGAAGAATGAAAATAAACCAACTCGAGCTAATCTTGGTGATAAAAAATGCTCATTTTGTTCTTAATTCCTCCACGCTGCAAAACCCGGAGTAACTGTCATTCATTTTTGCATGGTATTGTCTTCTGAAACTGTACGCTTTTTATATAAGTTACGCTTTGTGTTATATCATCTGTTTACCACGACCAGTACCATCTATTAAGTATTTTTTCTCTTGTACAACTCGTAAGTCTGTCAATAATGCTACAGCTAGCATTGTAACGAAGACGAACTCAAAAGCAGTCAGATTACACACATAAGAGCAGCATTCTTATCTCTCACCGCTGCTGACTCAGTTCTGAGCAGCGAGGCCAAAGAGACGGAAAAATAATCAAAGGCAAAACATTCTGGCTTACTGCAGACACATGCATGGCTGGGAAACTTTGATCAACTTATTTTGGGTTCATGTTTGTGTTTATTATTATCGTGGCATATTCAGCCATGAATTATTTATTCTCCATAAAAGGGTTTGTGGCACACGCACGCACGCACGCACGCACGCACGGACACACACACACACACACACACACACACACACACACACACACACACACACACACACACACACACACACGCACGCACACGCACACACACACACACACACACACCACACGCACACACACACACACACACACACCACACACACACACACGCCACACACACACACACACGCCACACACACACACACTACACACTACACACACATACACACACTACACACACATACATACACACAAACGCACACACTCACGCCACACACACACGCACTCACACCACACGCACACACACACACACACACACACACACACATACACACACACACATACATGCACAGACAAGCGCACGCAAAGAGAGTTTGTACGCTTGCATCATCATGCACTATTTACAAGTAGGTGTATATACACAAAAACACCTGCGCCAGGGTACGTACATACTTTCATTTCTACGACACAAAGGCACGGCAGCGCAACCCATAAAACCCGATCTTCTCAGAACTATGACGAAGAAAGTTCCATATGTAATATATCATTTAACCCCATCTAACATGCGTGTGTTTGACTTCAGCGTTAAGAGGTAGATGCTTCAATAATATTTGGAAATCACTGTACCGTTTGACCTGCAGGAAATTTTTAATCTGGTCTGGATTTCCCCAAGTTCGTGTGATATGTTTAGGTTAACCGTGGTAGGCTGGGAAGCACAGAATGCAGTGACGTGTTTTTGTTGTGATGACTTTTGAAGGAGGTTTTCGTCTTGCTTCTCCATGCATGTATTTATCTATATACATATCTTTATATACGTATCTCTACGCATAGGAAAATACCGTGTATGCAAGGTCATACTATACGCACACACACACACACACATACACACATTATCTATATATTTGTGTGTGTGACGTACGTGTGTGTGTATGTAGGTAGTGCGTAGGTGTTTTTTGTGCACGTTTTGAAATATGTATTTATACGCACGAGTACATACATTCTGTATTTAAACCGTACATCTGCCTGTGTACAAGGATCACCGGAAATATCAGTCGCCTGAGTTAATATAACCGCGCCAGCAGGTGTGACTTGAGCACAGTCCGCAAGTTCCATTCAGGCTTTCTGACGATCGATGTTCTCGTCATGCAGAGCACTTTACGAACAGGCAATATGCGTCATGCTTGAAACACGACGAAGGCAAGTCAGGCAACCCCATGACTTGACGTGATTTACCTTGAAATGAGACGTTTAATATCCGTCCATATGGTGGGGACTTCACCAACTCTGCAATATTTGTACGATATATTCTGATTACATAATGATACGATAAATCACAATATACCATAGTAAACGCCACGCCAATATTGCAAATATGATTCTGGTTTGATGTCGCTACAACACTAACGTTGATATAATACATTAGCCATTTAAATTATTTCTATTCGGCATTCAGGGCACATTTTACAACGTACATGACATTTTCTAATACGGAAGGAGAGCGCAACATGTTGATCAATAAGTCACTCAAGTTGAACTCTTGCAATGAGCACTGTAACAGTGTCACTTCTCCCCCTCCTCCCCCATCCCCGTTCCTCCCGCATCCTCTCCCCAACTCAACACCTTTTCGCGGACAGGAATCAACGAAGAACAGGAAACGTTCGTTTATTCTCTCCTCTCTTTGTGCTGTGTCTATTAATAACTGGCGGCACACGCACTCTCCTCTCACTCAAGGCACACTTAGCATGATTCTCTCGCTCGCATGACCCTATTCATCTCATGCATTCTGCTGTGTCATGATGTCGTCTGTGAATGAGACGTACGTGGATGAACGCAACTGCAGATTAACTTGCAAGTCACCTCCTCAATGGCGGGCTTGACAGCGCGTCCATAGCAACGGACACTCGCGCCACTGAGCCAAGACGAACGAAAAGTTGCGGTGTGGGTATATGAGCAGCATACCCAGCTCCTCGACAATTTGGAATATGTTTAGGCCTACGTGATATCACATCCATCTGCCAGCAGAATGCAGCGCTGAACGAGTTTCTTTAAGGAGGACAAATGCAGCGCTGCGCACTGCAACCATGACCAATTGGGGCATTGATGGCGCAGCTGAACTTCATAGGTATGCAAACGCGTGTGCTCGCCGCTCGGCGCTGTAGGAGGTCCTCGGTCTTGTGTTGACCACATCTGATGTATAGACTATGGATGTCTGTCTCACTGTATATATACACACATATATCTATATGTATAGATATATATCTATATTTGTATAAATATATCTATATGTATAGATATATATCTATATATGTATAGATATATCTATATGTGTAAATATATCTATATATGTATAAATGTATATTCATATATGTATAAATATACATATATGTGTAAAAATATATATCTATGCATGTGTATATGTACATATATATATTACATCACATACATACTTACATATATACCTATATATGTAAATATGTATATATATATACATATATATACCTATATATGTAACTATATATATACCTATATATGTAACTATATATATACCTATATATGTAACTATACACACACACACACACATGCCTATATATGTAACTATATATATATATATATATATATATATATATATATATATATATATATCTACATATTATATACAAATATATACATACATACATACATACATACATATATATATATATATATATATATATATATATATATATATTTATATATATATGTGTGTGTGTGTGTGTGTGTGTGTGTTTGTGCGTGTGTGTATGTGTGTGATACACACGCACACAATATATATATATATATATATATATATATATATATATATATATATATATATATATATATATATATATATATATAATGTCCGAGTCTGTGCATTTGCATCCATGTACGCATTATTACGTGCATTTGAGCGACATATGTTGTGGGAGGAAAACCCTGAATCCTCGCACGAATCGGGGAGACAAAAGGCAAGTGCAAAACAGCCGGACAGCGCCGAGCTCAGTCTTATCCTGTGCGTGAAAGAGCCCGTGGCGGCCGTCGCGTGCATTGTTAAAAATTGATAAACCATTAACTACCAAGAAACGCTGACCATTCTGAGAAATGTCGCAAACATTAGGTATCCGAATCAATAGTCCAAACGTCGTGTTCTTTTTTTTATTATTATTCGAGTTCGATATATATGTATGTGTGTGTGTGTGTGTGTGTGTGTGTGTGTGTGTGTGTGTGTGTGTGTGTGTGTGTGTGTGTGTGTGTGTGTGTGTGTGTGTGTGTGTGTGTGTGTGTGTGTGTGTGTGTGTTTGTGCGTGCGTGTAAGTGTGTGTATTGAGCACAAATCGTATCTCGAGTCAATAATTCCTCCCGCGCGACCTTGGAAAATCGAAAGTCGACGGGAGTTGAGCATCTGTCAAATAATTAAATGGGAAAAGCGTGTGATAATTGGCCCGAGGTGCAGCCCAGTGCCTCTCATCACATGGGACGTCATGGGAATAATTATTGATCTTCGTCCACGCGTCTATGCGAATGTGACATCCTGCTCTATATTTATCACTCGATTTGTATATTCACGCTGAGTGTCATCACTATCGCTGCGTACAGTTCGAAAAGTGAACATTTCATCTTTCGCCTGAATGGGCTTGCAATCGCCGTGGTTTGTATTCAAGGCTGGATAGAGCAATAAAAGAAAATCAGTCGCAGGTTTGCATGATGCATTTCGTACTCGGATGTGCTTGAGGCGGAACAATACACCAAAACAATCGCCAGTGCTGATTGCAGCCCCGGGGACGCCCACGGGGGCCACAGGACACGGGGGCGAGGCAGAGGAGCGCTAATCCGAGGGCAAGGTGGAGGAAGGGCCCGAGCAGAGGCAGGGCGGGCGGGCAGACGGGGAACTAGAGGCGGAGGGGTACTGTCTGGCGGGGCGGTGGCGCGGCCAACATGTCGCCCAATGATAACTTGTGAAGCGGCGGCGGCGAGCGGCGGCGGCGGCGGCGGCGGCGGCAGTGGCGAGCGTGGCGGATCCCGGCGGCACTCGCGGTTCTCGGTGGCACTCTGTGACTCCCCTTGTGCTGTGGTGGAGAGCAGACGGCGGCGGCGGCCATACAGGTCTCGCTGAAAATGTCCATGTTGCCCTTCACGCCGCCCGTGGTGAAGAGACTGCTGAGTTTCAAGAAGGGCGAAGGCGAAGACAAATGGAGTGAGAAGGCGGTCAAGAGTCTCGTGAAGAAACTCAAGAAGTCTGGGGGTCTGGACGAGCTGGAGACAGCCGTGACCACCGAAGACCCGAACACTCGCTGCATCACCATCCCCAGGTAATGCGTGTGTGGCACCACCCTTGGCACCCTGTGGCACCAGCCCCCCTCGCTCCCGCGGCCGAGGGGCACGCAGGGGCACTCTCGCTCCCTCACCTCGAAGCAGGCCTCCAGGGGCATGGGTGCTGAGCCTGGCAGCAATAGGATACGTGGCTTGGGCAATTTCTTGATCTTTTTCCATCAAGAAGTGGCAGGAGCTGGCAGGGGCAGAGTGCCATGATTGGGCAGGTGAGGGGAGGGAAGAGGGAGAATGTCAGATATCATTGCTGTCGCTCGTGGAAGCAGGAATTTGTGTCATTCACCGCGGAATACATTAGAGGAATCATCAGCAATATCATTACATTGTGTAAATACAGTATATGTGGAGGAAGCAGCCTGCAGTGAATGGCACGCTCCTGCACAGGTGATTGTCGCTGCCACAAGGGCTTCAGTGTTCTTAGGAAAATGTATGACTAAGTAGTCTTCCAGGTATGAGCTCCACCAGACTGGAAAATAAGGTTCATTTACTTGTATTTGCCATGTATGCTATTTATTTCTTTCAACTTCCTTATTCTACCCTTCACTTTTCATGCTCACTGAATTAATGCCAGCGCTAGTGAAATACTTGCAAATGCCAGACGAAGTATCATATACAAACACATACATCCTGTGGGTAGAATATTCCTTTAATGAAGTGATGCAACCATTGTGTCCCTCTAGTGGGGAAAGTGAAAAATGTAAAAGTAGGTTTGTGGTTTCATGGTTTCACACATGCATTTGTCCTATTATCAAACTTTGGACTCTCATTCCTGCATCTGCCAGCGGTGTCTGGACGGCAGGATATTAGCGGTTTCCTTAGATGCTTTGAGTGATGATTGAGGGAAAGTGGCAAGGGAATGTGGATGATTTTTAATCCATTGATAATTGGATAGGAAAAATACATGACATGTCCACTGTCTTTTTTTTCCTTGTTGACTGTATTTACACATAGATAGCTCTACAAGAGCATACTCACTTGCCCTTGATTTTTGGAAAGATTCTTTTTACCTTTCATTGCTATTAGTATTGTTGATATCATAATAAACTTAATGTCAGTGATATTGATAACATCATTATAAATAGCATTATAAAATAAACATTATTTCCCCAAAAAACAACTGAAAGGTAAATCAGGTGATGCCATGTAGGCTTCCTTATTAACTCCTTGGTGGCTTTACATTTCTGGAGCCATCTATGTG